CCCCAAAACCCCAAAACCCCAAAACCCCAAAACCCCAAAACCCCAAACAGAGTCAAGAGACGAAAATATTAAATCATTTTATATAATAAAAACCTCTGAGAAATGAACGAAAGAAGTAAGGTTCCTAAAGCATATATCATTATTAATCTGATGTAGATCTTAATATTAGAAGTGTTAGTCCATTCCAAAGCCTTGAAAAGAGGAAGCATAAAAGAAATATCTTCTCAACAGGGAGATGACATTCCAAACTTAAAAGAAGACAAACTAGGAGTAAGTATTCCTAATGTTATCTCTGCTATAAAAACTCTCGGATGTTGCGTCTGTTTCCTAATAGTTCTGGAAAAATGCACTAGGATTAATTTAAAGCTAAGAACATCCTTTTCATAACTTTCCGTACTTAGAGATGAAATTTAAATATGCTCATTATAATATCAGGTCTATAAAGAAGGTTTGTAATCCCTTCGGACGAGGTTTTAGGAAATAAATAGGATTAAATTGGGAAATTTTCACCCTATTTGTCCTATAATTTGATGCTCTAACATCCCTAGCTCCTTCACCTTAGAAATTATCGATTAAAAATTAAAGTAATTCCGGATTTCGCACTGTGAATACGTTTCGGAGCCTGAAAAATGGGCAGTTACAAAGGTTATTTCAGAGCAATTTTGCATATCTTAGATCTTATCTCCTTTCTGTCCATATCTACTGTACAACATCTCTTAGTAGCTGTATCGACTGATTTCGTTTATTCATGTTATATCTACCTCTACCTTCAGGAAAACATTTCCTACATTTTTATGAAATATTTTGCTAATTATCCAACCACATGGATGAGTTCGAAATGATCAGATCTCGAAGGGATCCTCCTTTCTAAAAACTTTGGGCGGTCTGGTCTCACTCATAGACCAGATTTCAGAGTTTTGATGTAATTTAGCATTGATTTTAAGTCATTATTCATGTGATTTGTTCGAATTAACATCTATTAAGCCAGTGTTCTAGATTTATTCGTAATTATTTCAACTTGTAAGCAAAAGAAACTTTATGCTTTAATTAAGTTCACTCATGGAGAAGTTTTAGGAGACTTATAAGCGATTATTTGTGTTAAAAGTTAGGAATTGATTACAGAGAGTAAATCATGCCTGATGATTTTTTTAGTGTTTGTAGTGAAAAGTAGTTCTTAGCTTTTTTTTAGCTGATTTTCTCTCATTTTTGAGCAGTTAGTGTCCCTTTGGTAACATTTTTACTAGGGACAGTTTTAATTTTGGGAAGAGATAGAAATTAGGTTAGATTTTCTGGAAATTTGAGGAATAGTATGTAGCATAAATCACTTTAAATTTTATTCCAGGAGCTTCTAAATCAGTGCTTATTATATTATTTGAAGCAAAGGAGGGATTTGAAAATTCTCATTTGATAAGCCTATCTCTAGAGCAGAAAAATTTAAGTCTTTTACTAATCCCATTCAAATACTGTTGTCAAGAATTTTTGTTGTTGCTGAAACGTACTGAACTCTTCATTCCTTGCAATTCTTGTAGACTTGTCTCGTGTATCTATCTGCCTAATTCAGTTAAAAACTGGGAACGAATTAGTAAGAAGTTTATCAGATAACTTTGAAGAAAAGAACACTTTTATGTTAACCAAATCACCAAGAAGTTAGTGAAATATTTGTAAACCCTGAATTCTATATAAGAGTTCATACTAGAGCTGGTTTCTATCGCAATAGTTTTACAAAAGTGGGTCTTTGACCCACTTTTGCTGATTGCTTTAGCATAACCTGTAAACCTAGTCTGATGTTTTAGATAATGTTTCATAATTTCTGTAGAAACTGTCAAGAGTGAGATCGGAAATTCAAAAACTTTATTTATGCTATTATCGATTCTTTTGGCCTTCCACTCAACCAATAACAAATCTCTACTTTCACATCAACCTAAGGCTAGTGTAGCTACATATAATGCTATTCTTGATGCCAATCAGAATAATTTTCATTCGAAGGATTCTAAAATTATTTTGTGTAAGAGTCTAGACTCTTATGCTGGTTTAGTTAATTTTTACGACTTGGTAAGGCTTCTCAACCTCTTTGTGATGAGATAACTCATTTTTAGGCTCTATCTTGGAAAAATACCCCAAATCTATCTATTTTTTCTTTCGAGCCTTATCAAGTTATGAATCTGATTTAACATTTTAGGATAGGTATGAAATATTTCGGATTTATACAAATATTTGATTATTTTGCGAAATGTGAGACGTGTTGCTGAATCATAGCAATTTTATCAGCATGACATTGTCAGGCAACATTGTGCTTTTAGTGTAGTTATATCTTAATTTATAAGCCTCTTATGATGTGATATTTGTCTACAACATGATCAGATGTTCTAATTTATGCTCTTTGGGTAATTTTGAAACTATAAATCATAGATAAGCATTGGCTGCTTCTAAATGTTCCCCTCCAAATTGGCTAAAGACTAATTAGAATATGTTGCAAAGTCAGCCAGGCTTATCTCCAACTAGTTAAGGATATATTTATTAAGCGCAGAACCATAAATTTGGATGTTTATGACTAAAATCGGGGACTAATCTATGAGAAATTGACATGCTAATCAAGTCTGTTTTAATAGTATCTCTTAGTTTTGACAGGTCTCCCTCGTTTATTTTTGATTTCAATAGGTCTAATACTCGATTATAGAAGGAGGCCTTCCTCAAATTCCTACATCTCCACAAGAAAGAGTTACTCCCATTCTGAGCCCAAAGCGAGGCGAGATTAACTACAAGGAAGAGCTTCAAAAAGGAAGTGAAATGCTTAGGAAAGAAGCCGGTGATAACCTCCAGAAATTCGGAGGCAACTTTATGTTTGATTTCTATGGAGGCAGGGCCAGAATGGATTTCTCAAGCAGAAATGAAGCTGACCAAGTGAGTTTATTTTTGAAACTTACTGATATTTTTAGACATATCAAGAAATAGCTCATACTTTCATGGGAGAAAAGAAGAATAAATGGGGTGTTTTATGAAATTATGTCACTGGAAGGCAGAACAACAGCGAGATTGTTAATAATGTAATCACAGAGAGAATCAATGACAAGGTAAAATCATTGGAAGATGTAAAAATCCCTATTAAGAAAAACTGAAGGAAAAAGGAAAAGTTAACAAAGATGTTCAGAAATAACGGTGGTATGAATGCCTCAGACGCAATGAAGACTTATGACTTCTCCAGCAAATCAAGATGATTAAGTGATCCTAAAGCAGAGAACACTATTGACAACACTAATCTTGGAAATGTAAGTGATCTCAGTAAAAATAGTTGCTAAAATAGATTTATTGTTAGGAGTAAAAACCGTTTCCTAAATTTTCGTATTTATTAATAGTGGTTACTCTAAAAATTGAAGAAATCTAAATTATTGGGAAATATGTGCTGATCCTTTGTCTTAGAACAATGAATTGGCAATGCCATTGACAAACAAGAGAGAGACTATGTCTAAAAGTCCCCTCGGATTGCGGACTATAATGCCAGGTGAAGATAAAGGATACTTGAAGCCAATACCTAAGATGTAAGATCTGACACCATCTATGAGCTCAATAATTTTATCTACAAAATATCTCCTTAGCTGTTCGGTGAAAATTGTTTTGAAAATTTTCAAATCAAATCCTTCCTATAGGCAAAGAAAATAAATCAAAGCAAAGGGTGAACGAAGAAGTAGAAGATTTTGACACATACCTTAAAAAGATGATGATGCCTAAAGCTCTGCGAAAAGTAAACCCAAATTTGCTCAAGCTGATCCCACGGACCACTGCTAACAGTGGCAATAGCTCTATCTTAGTCGATATTGAAGAGAACATAAAGCCGACTGAGAACCAGAAAGAACTGATCCGGATGAAATGGAATTTGAAGAGGATGGAAACAGAGCAGAAGAGTCAAATGAATCAGTTCAAGAAGATAAAGCGCAAAATTAGCCCCAGGAAACTTATAATCACTGAGAAAAAGACTAACCCTATGGATAATGTCGATGAGACTACCTTTAGAGACTCACTTACCAAAGCATCTAACACTGTAACTAAAAATGAGAGATATTCCAAGATTGTTCAGAACGATGATAAAATAGGAGAGGATGAAATGAAAAACTTCCAGAAGCAGATGACCATGCCTCTGAATATCTTCACTCCAAAGAGTGAATCAACCAGGCTGTTTGATGAAGACAATGAACTTACCTCAAATGGCTTCCGTATTGACGAGATTGTTGAAGACATGAAGTCTTCTGAAGATGACAGTGTAAGTGACTCAGAAGCTTATACTAAGAAACAAACTGTTCGGTCGAAGAAGAACACTGAAAAGCCCCAAAAGTGATCTGGGAAGGAAAAGAGAGGCAAGTTCTTTGTCCACAAAGCTAAGAGTTTTATGAAACCCAAGAAGTTAAAGTCAATTAATCCTACAAAGAACATGAATGATAAGCTAGCTAGCTCAAAGAGGAAGATTAATATGATCAAGCTGAATTCAACTGCTTTTAAAAATATGAGTGTTAAAAGGATTGGAGATTCTAGGTCTCCTTCTCCACTCAAGGGACAAATGAGTGACTCCACCAGTGAAAATTTCTCAAATGGTAGTCCAAGTTGTTCAAAATCTCCCCAGAACTATGATTTTGAGAATGCGATTATCTCTCCGATTAGGTGAGATGGAATGGAACCAGAAGTAGGTATTGTTCAGAGCACAGATTTTGTAAGCACAACAGAGGAGAATGATCCAGCTATCAAGAATAAGTTGACTAAGCCTAGTAATTGTAGTCCACCAGTTGAAAGAGTCCAAAAGGCAACACCTTCACCTAAGAAAATTAATAAGCTTACCATCAAACCCACACAAATTACAACAAAAAGGAATGTGAGTAAAGCCTACGCTCCACAAGCAGGGTCTAATTGAAAGCAGAGGAAGAAGAAAAAGTCGATTAAGAAGATGTTTTCAGAAGAATATCAGCTTAAATCAGCTAACTTATAATTTTTAAATCCGCCATACCCAATGAAAAGAAATAATTATTAATGTCATAAACCACTCCTTCTAATTTTCCTCCTTATTGTTCAATTGCTAAAATCCTCTCCGGGGTTTTGGGGTTTTGGGGTTTTGGGGTTTTGGGGTTTTGGGG